TTTGAAATTTTAGCATGGATTAGTATATGTATTTTAACAAAATCACTTGCAGCATATCTTTTTACTATTGTTGGATCCATTCAGATGTATCTTTGGGCTATTAAAAAACATAAAAGTTATCGTAAAGATTTTAAAGATTATCCAAAAAATAGAAAAGCACTAATTCCTTTTATGATTTAACAAGATATTGAATGAACATATATAGTGAGGATGTAAAGAATCAAAGCATATTATTATTATTAATTGAACAGATCAATAATTCGTTTCAAATATATATAAAAAAAAATAAATTGTTGTTAGCAAATTTCTTCTTGAAAACTAAAAAATATTTCATTTTAAATTGACACTACTAACCTAGAAAGCATGAACTTTCATATTCCTACTTTTAGAAACACAACATTACCAGGCCCCACCCATTCACTTAAGAATTGATCAAACAATGTTATATTTCAAATATATGGATCATGGACAATAGAAAGGGGGTCAATGTCAAAGTCACAATTTTGAGAAAATTGAAAAATTATGTAAAATTTTAAGTAAAATTGCATATAGAAATATTAACTCAAAAATCATGATCTTTGTAATTATCCTTTTTTAAAAAACTTTAACAGAAATTTATCAAAATTTTATTAAATGGGCATAGTTTCTAAGCTAAAAAATTGTTCCTTGTAACAAGTTATGCATCATAATTATAATTGCAGAGGTTACAGACAGTTGCAGAGGTTGCAGAAAAGGTTGCAACTCAAGCTTTAAAACACGCAGTTGCAGAAAATGCAAAAACAGTTACAGACACCAACTTTAGCTGTTTGTAAAATATATTTAATGAATGCTTTCTTTATCAATTATTCAATAATCATATAGACAAGTTGATTGAAGTAAGTGTTAAAGTTAAGGTCTATGAAGCTTGCAAATCAAGTTTGCAAAATGGACGTTTTATCAATTATTCAATAATTATATAGGCAGGTTTGATCAAGGTAAGTGTTAGAAAAGATCTATGAAGTTTGCAAAAAGAATGTATCAATTATTCAATAATTATAGAGGCGGGTTTGATCAAAGTAAGTGTTAAAGTCAAGGTCTATGAAGCTCACAATCCAGCTTTGCAAAATGAATGTATAGGCATGTTCAAATCATTTCTAGTAATAAACAAATAACAAATAATGCTTTTCTTTAAAAGTAAACAAATCAATGGCATGATTAAAAAAAAATCAGGACAAATGATAATAATAGTTAAAAAAAATTGTGGCCGAAAACCAACATCACGTGATCGATTTTTTTTTCAGAAAAATAAAAAATTTTTTTTTGAAATTACCATCCAAGCAAAAAAATTTCTCCTAAAAATTAGGTTTGAAAAACAAAGATCATTGGTTGCAATTGTTTGCATCGCATTGTTTTACAATTCAATTCAAAACATTAAATATGGTGAAAACGTTGATCGCGCCAAAAATCGAAAAAACCAGGCACGGCTAGACGTAAAAAGAGACAATCGGCACGAAAGTCGCACGACTTACGGGTTTTGAAAGGAGATTGTGACACGGAAAATAGTTTATTTTTTGTTTGTGTTAATTAATTATTGTTTTAATCTCTTGATATCATCATCTATTTTCTTGATTTCCTTATTTATCTCAATATAATTATCTATAATATCATCAAAATCTTTGATATTTTGATATTTTAAAAGTTCATTATTCAAATTGGTCAACTCTTGAATTTTATTTTGTTCCTCATTCAATAAATTATTCCTTTAAAAAAAAATTCAAAAGTGTTTTAACAATAATTTATCACTTATTATGACCCTTTTTATAAAAAATTTCTCTTAAATACCTTATTGTTCTAAGCATTTTAACAGTGTCATCGTCATAAACCTCTCTTAAAGTTTCATATAAGTGAACTCTATATATATGTATATTCACATATTATAATTAGAATTTTTTTTAATATGATGAATAAAATATTTACAAAAAAAATAAACAATATTTCTAACCTTGCTTTTAATTCAATTGATTCTATTAAACCAGAAAAATAATTAATGAAAATAGTGTTTTTTTTCATTTCATGATGACATTTGAATTCTTCATTTAAAATCCAAAGATTAGATAAATTATTCTTCAGAATCTGGCAAAAAAAATATTATTAAAAATATTAATGTTAATGTTAATAGTAGTGATAGTAATCATTCATATTACTTTAAAATATTCCATCAAGTTTTCATTCAATAAAGTTTTATTTCTGGTTAAATTTATCTTTGAAGACTTTAAATCATCAATTTGTTGACTCAATAATTTTTCTAATTGTTTTGCATTTGGAATTATTGACTTTGAATTTATTTCTGTTTTTTTTTAAAGGTAATTAATAATTAAATAATAAATTACAAATTCAAAAAATCTTATAATAATAATTACCTTCATCTGCATAATAAAACTTTACTATATCTTCATATTGTTTTATTAAACCATTTTCAATTGTGTTGATTATATAAATTTTTGAATTCTTTTTTAGTGTACACACAAATAAGAATTCATCAATCAATAATCGAATTATCATCATTGTTATCATCATATTATTGTTATTTTTCAAATTTATAATTATTAATTGCATACTTCTAATTCCATTAGGTCACCTTTAACCAATTTATATAAATCATCATCTTTTAATCCAAAAATTGTTACTATATCTTCTTTCCTTCCTCCTCCACTTCTAATATTATTCTTATTTTTGTTTATAACTTTTTTTAATTCAGGATCATTTGGTTGAAAATTTAAATATTGTCTTGATTCTGCAAATGATAAAACCTTTTCAAGTGTCTTAATTATCTGATGATTGTTAATAAATTATGAAATAGATCAATAATAACACTAATAATACCAATTATAATAATTATTATTTAATACCATTTTATAATCATCTAATTTTATTTTATCATTTATTAATGGAATTTTACCCAAAGTCATTTGTTTTATTCCATTATATATAATCAATGCTTCTAAATATTCCGATTTTTCACTGAGAAAGCTTTCCTACAATAGAAAAATTTAGAGGAATGTTTATTTGTGTTATTAACTTAATAAAAGAATGGTTAAAATGATATTATGTTTAATAAATTGTACATCATTAAACTTTTTTGCAACTTCCTTCGTTGCTCCATTAGAAGTCAAATATTGTGTGGTTAATTTTTTATAAAGCTTTGCAAAATTTGGATTTGCTAAAAGTACTGCTTTACCAGTAAACATTTTTAGGTAGAAAAATCACGAGAAAATGCAAATCTACGCGTGCGTGAATATCCAATTAAATGTGTGTAATATTACACCATTACTATTATAATATTAATATACGTAGTAGTATTCAATATATTGTAGTCACGTGACTGTAGTACAATTTGTGCTACATAATATATTATGCGTATTTACGACTGTCAAATAAGGAAAAATAATAATTGTGTAATTCATGAACTGTTTATGGATCATTGTTCCACCTTTTAATATAAAAAATTTCTAGGCTTAACCCTATCTTTATTTTTTTTTCTACTTTTTAGAATTTATTGACCATTGAAAAGTAATAAAAAAAATAAATAAATCAAAGGCTCATGTATGTAAAAAATAATCAATGATTTATTTTTTATAACAATACTTTATAAATTGTTTTACATTATTTTTAATTATTTATTTTCTTTAATAGTTATAGTTCAATAAAAAAAAATAAAAAAAAAATCATAATGAGCGTCATTGAAATAGAAACATCAATCTCAACTTCAACAATAGTTTCTTCTAATGATCATTCATGTAAATTAATACAACAAATTTCAATAGCTGCAAATATCCCACCAGAAATTTTTATAAAAATATGTGAATATTTGCCACCAGCTGATCTTTTGAGATTAACAGGTGTTTGCAAAAGATTTCATAATTTCTTGTGTTCGCCAGAATCTCCAATCACACAAGATATTTGGAGAATTTCAAGAATTCAATTTCTACCTGGTCTTCAACTACCTCCTCCAAAAGGAATGTATGAAGAGGAATATGTTCGATTTGGAAATTTATTAGCAAAATGTCAGTATTGTTATACCAGAAAAGCTGTTAAAATATATTGGCAATTCTTAGTACGATGTTGTCACGAATGTTTGATTAAAAATACTACTGCAATTTCGTCAGTATATTTTAATATTATTTAAAAAATTTTTTTAAATAAATTTATAGATCAATTAAATTAAAGTTTATCTTTATTTCACTTTTTAGGTACAGCAAAGACCATAATTGGATGAGTGATAATGTTCTTACTGGGTTGGTTTATGTACGACACAATAATCAAGTTCTTTTTTGGACACCAGATGTCAAATCATCATTCAAAGAATTTGAAGCAATTAGTGGTAGTCATTACAGTGATTGGGTTGAAAAAAGAAAAGAAAGACGTATTCGAATTATGGACGATGCTACCCAACGTGACTTGGCTTCTGTGAATGCTGAAGAAGATACGCCAACTATATTATTAAATCCAAATACAGAAATCACAAGAGCAATATCAACAGCAATAGTAACTACTACAACTGCAACATCCAATGCCACTACTACGACAGCAACAGCAACAGCATCTACTAGTACGTCTACTGCATCTACCGCTGCAACCAACACATCAACAAATTCACTTGTCCATTTAAATACTATAAGCGCCTTGGCGGCTGAGGTAGGTTATAGAGAATTTTCTCTTTCGCCGATCAGGCATACAGGAACAAGATCAACTCTTCCTTCAAATGCATCGGCTTTAAATATTTTTGGTCGAATCAATTCTCTGGATATTATGATCACGGACTCTCCCTAAAAAAAGATTATATAACATTTTTTATTTAGACAGACAATAAAATTTGATCGGGAAAAGTAGAGCTTTTTGTTTTTTTTTCTTTCCTGATGCACTTAATTGGTGAGAAAAATTTTTTTTATTATATATTTACTTATATATTATTACTATCTTTGCATATTAAAACAAAATATACATCTTCATTTATATATTTATATTATATATAGAAAAATGATTTAATAATAATTGAAAATATTTTATATATTAGAAAATAAATGTACATAATTTATTATCATTTTATTTTAAATTTTTTTTTGAAGTAGGATTTAAAGATGATGGAGATACATTATATTATTATCATCATCGTCTATTATTATTATCTATTAGCAACTATCAATTATCTTTGAAATACTATATTTAATATTTTCTGTATTTATTATTACTCTATTATTTTATTTCTATTATTATTATTATTATTGCTGTTTTATAAAAAAATCTTCACTAAAAATTAAAAAAATTTTTCTTTTTATTCTTTTTATTTAACAAACATTAAACTTTTCATTAAAATGTAAATTTTTAAATTAATCATAAATGGCCAGTCAGTCACGTGTATGACTTTAACTGATCTTCATTCATTTTTTTAATTGTATGGTATAAACTATCACTATCATCATTATTAAAACCATGTTAATAGAACTCTTGGCACTGTTGGCTGTTGTTCCGACTGGCTTACTAGCGTTTTATATTTGGCTCCTTCAAAGTAGAAAAGGTACCCTAGAAATCACAACCACCGAATGTGCATATGATAAGAGTCAATTTGGTCACATATTGAATTGGGATAAACATTGCTTATATATTCATGGTCGTCCAACTATAATAGTCAGTGGAGAATTTCATTATTGGCGTCTGCCCGATAAGTCTCGTTGGGAAAGTATTTTGAAAAAATATTGTGCTGGTGGTTTCAATTGTATTCGTATATATTTCCATTGGGGTTTTCACAGTCCTGACGAAGGAGTTTATAAATTTGACGATAACAGGGATGTCGAATATTTGTTAAATCTATGCGAGAAATTGAATTTGTATGTTTTAGCTGCTCCTGGTCCTTATATTTGCGCAGAAACACAAGCTGGTGGATTTCCAATTTGGTTGGTGGAGAAAGCTGATAAATTGCGTCATGTAAAATTTACCACATTTAAACAATATGATGAAAACTTTTCAGAGTATCAGCGTGAATGGTTTGAAAATATTTTACCTATACTGGCAAAACACCAAATAACTGAAAAATCAAATGGTTGTATTATAGCTTTACAAGTCGAGAATGAGTTGTTCGAGTTGGTTAAAATTATTCCATTTGGTTTACATGACGAACTTCGGTTCTTATGTAAAGTGGCAAGAAATTGTGGTATAAGTGTACCATTGTTTACAAATGATGGTGATGAATCTGGTTCTTTTATTGCCAAACCTGAACTTGATGCTAAGCCTTCAACTCATTTTTTTAATCGAAGGACATTTGGTTTAGATCTTTATGGTTTTGATAAATATATTGGTATTTAATTATCATAATATTCTTTTGGAGGGTTTTATAAAAAAAAAATGATTAATTAATTAATTAAGTATTTGAACGAACGATCGATTGATTGATTATTATTATAGTATTTGTGCCACCAAGCGCACCTGTACCTTGGACATTTTATGATGAACAGGATCCAAGTAAATGGAAACAATGGGATCCTAAGAATTTTATGAATTCAATTGATAAACTTGAAAAAACAATTCGAGGCTTTGGTTATGATGCTAGTAAGGTATTATTCTATCATATAATAATAATAATTATTATTATTATTATTATTAATATGAACTAAAATTTATTATCAACTACCACCACCATCATCACCGTTATAATTTAAAGTCACCAATATTCATTCCAGAACTTCAAGGTGGTTGGTTTACAAGTTATAAATTAAATCATACATTTGATGATGTCTATAATTTTTATGGTGATTTTTTTACAAGACTTGTATATGAATCCGTCCTTGCGCAAGGATCTACTATTGCTAGTATTTATATGACATATGGTGGAACTAATTGGGGAACTTTAGGAGATGTGTAAATTCATTATTTAAATTTATTATGATTTTTATCAAATAATATTTTTTTTTGTTAATGGTGATAATTTTTTCTCCTCCCTCGTATATGAATTAGTGACGGGTGCACCTCATATGATTATTCTGCATGTATTCGTGAATATGGTTACATGTCATCACGTTTACACAATTTGCGTTTAACAATATTATTTGTGCGGAGCTTTTCTGATCTGTTCTCAAGGACTGAGCTAGTTACAAAACCTAATGTTTCTACATCAAATAAAAACATCATTAATCTTCAACGAAGATCTGAAAACAACAATGGTGGTGACGGAGCGTTATTCACATTTGTCCGAAATTTTAATAAATCTTGTCAAACAAAATTTCAATTAACCATAAATTATTTGAAAAAATCAGCACAGCAACAAGAAGAAGAGCAACAGAAAGAAATAAAAATCATTATGCAATGTTATTGTCAATATAAAACTTCATTTATTGCATTGGGAAATTATTTAACCAGAATAGGTGTAAAACTGATATTCTCAACCCTGCCAATTTATTTAAGGATTAATATTCCACAAAATCAAAGTTATCAAGACGGCGGCGAAGTTTGGATTCTTCCTAGTTGCGAAGTTGGTGAATTGGCCTTTGATGGTGAGATAGTAATTGATGGAGGAAACATCGAACCAACAATTAAAAAACTTGAAGGAAACTCAATTAATGTCCTTTCTTTTGATGGAAAAGTCGGCTATGTGACAATTAAGAAACCTGATGATGAAACCAAAAAACTATATTTATTGATATTGGATGAGAAGTCACTTATCACATTACATGCTTTTTTTGATGATCGTTCTTATTTGGCACAAGCAAACAATGATGCTAATTATGATGATGATGATGGTAATAATAATAACAGTAATCAGCATGATCAATCACATTCACCTTTAATTGTTAGTTGGGGAACTCAGTATGTTTATTACGACAAAGAAAATTTGACAATTGAGACAGAGTATGTGGAAGAAGATGATGAAATCACAATTTTATCATTTTCAAGAATTCCATCTGAAAATATTGTAACTGGTCAAAATAAAATTTATCCACTACCGTTTATTTTTAAAAAACAATTAAAAGCAGGAGCAAAAATCACCGTAAAATTGGATTTGAGGCCACAACTTTTCAATTGGGGCACACGATTAACAAATTTCAAGGAATTTCAGTGGCGACCTATTAAAGATTTTAAATCAGATGGAAACATTTTGAAGAATTTTTATACTTCAGGACATATATTGTATAGTACACAATTTCCTAATACAAGCTATTCTAACAGAAGCAAAGTAAAGCTTTCTATAAACATGAGACATAGATGTACAATTTTTGTTAACGGTAAATTTGTTGGAGGCCATACAACATATTCTAAACAGTTTTTTTTCCCAGGTGCAAAGACCGGGCCTGAATTATTGACATCTTTGGGTGGAAAAAATTACGAGATTACATCTTATTTGCACAAATCGTCATCATCGCCATCATCGCTCGTAGGAAACAATAATCAACAGCACCACGATGAAGGTGACAACAACAACAATAATAATGAAATAGTAATATTGGTAGATAATTGGGGATTAAGTAGACAGTCAGTAGTATTTAACGATGCATATAATCCAAGGGGTGTAATCTCATCATCGATATCAGGATTAAAATCTAATACAAAGATTCAATGGTATATTTGTGGAGTTGATGTTAGGAAATTGAGTAATGCATATATAACGAGTGGAATTCCTGATGAATTTGTTGATGATGAGGAGGCTGAATGGAAACCTCTTTGTAATAATGATGGTGATGACAATGATGATAACAATGATAATAATGATAAACAATATGATGGAACTGGAACAAATAGTATTAATACTTATGGCGTTATAAAAGATGATGGTGTAAGATGGTGGAATTTCAAGTTTACTCATCCAATTCAAAAAAAATTCCAAAATATAATTAAAGCACCTTTAAGATTGGTATTGTTTGGTCGATTTACAAGTTATATTTACTTGAATGGGGTGTTGATTGGTAGATATTATGGTAATGGAGATTGTTCACAACAAAATTTTTATTTGATGGATGGATTATTAAATCATTCTGATGATAATTTCATCGAAAATAAGCAAAGTTTTACTCATGAAGATAGTAATGATGACGAAGGCCAACAAAAAGTTGTAAAGAAAAATAATTCTAGCAATAATAGTGGTTTTAATGAAATTACTCTGATGGTTTATTCATGGGAAAATGTCAATCCTGAAAATATTAAAGTTGAAATTAGGGGATGGGAAATTGATAAATATTCAGGAAATCTAATTAAAAATACTAAAGATGTTGATAACTTGCCTTGGATTGTTATGAAAGAAAATATTCAACTAATCTAACCTAATTTAATTTATATATACACCTTTAACTTAATTTTTTCCATCAATATTTTATTCCATAAAAAGATTTGTGGAACCTTTTTCGAATTTCGTGTTTTTTTTTTGTCAAAGAAAAACGATACACGATACCTTTTTTATAAAAAGTTGCATACAAAATGATCAAAATGATAATGATCATCAGACCAATTAAATTAAACTTCGTGTGATAACTCACGTAATGATCGACAACAGTATTTATTTATTTTATTTTAATTTAAATCATCAGTTGATTAGAAATTTTTTTTTTTTTAATTTGTTCCCAAAATTATTTTCTTTTTTTTTTTCCAATAAAATTATTATTATCCCTTGCAAAAATTATTATTATTTACGATTTGTTATTATTTTTCTAAATAAACAAAAAAAATCAACGAAAATTTTTTTAAAAAAAAATAAAAAAATATATATTCTTAATAAAAACCTTTCTAAAAAAAAAACTAGACAATTATAATTACAATATAGTTTTTATTTCAAGAGTATTTTTCGAAAAAAAATGGTAAGAAATTTTTTTTATTTTTGAATGAGGAAAAAAAAAGTTAGCCGTAAAAAAAGATTATAGTTTTTTTAATTTAATAAATAAGTGATATTAAATATATGAAAAACGAATTTATAAATATCACACGTTCATAATAATAATAGTCAAAATTTACGATTTTTAAATTTTTTAAAAATTCTTTATAATCGCGTTAACTTAAATTTTTTCACAAATCAGTCAAATAATATATTTTTTTTAACCATTAATTTATTATCATCAACAAACTCGGATGGTAACGAAATGATATATATTTTATTTATATAATAATTTTTCTTTAAAAAATTTAGGCTACTACCGATAAACAAGTACCTAATAACACATCTGCACCACCACCACAAGAAAATGCTAATGGCGATCCTAGTCATCAGAAAGAAAAACTCCCTGTCCTATCTAGATCACAGAGAGCTGGTTTACAGGTAACATTGAAAAAAACCTTAATTACATTACTCGGTCGAGATTTTTTATAATTGGAAATTAAAAATAATATACATTTAAATTTGTTGATCTTAACCTATTAATTTAGAATTAATAAAAATTATCTAACTTAATCTCAAACCTAATATTTATTTATTTAAAAATCTAGTTTCCAGTAGGACGCATTCACCGATATTTAAAGCAAAAAACTTTAAATAATGCAAGAGTAGGAGCAAAAGCCGCTGTATATTCTGCCGCAATCTTAGAATATCTTACAGCCGAAGTCCTTGAATTAGCAGGAAATGCATCTAAAGACTTGAAGGTAAAGCGTATTACACCAAGACATTTACAACTTGCTATTCGTGGCGACGAAGAACTGGACACGCTTATTAAAGCCACAATTGCAGGCGGTGGTGTACTACCGGTAAATATCTTTCTATATAATAACTATATTATATATGTCTTGATTCGATTTTTTATTAATTGCAATTATAACTAATCGCCAACTTAATTTAATTTTAAATTAATATAGCACATTCATAAAACATTGTTGAACAAGCCAAGTTCTAAAAAAAAGGCCACGCAATCGTAAACGAAAAAAAATTATGAATATCGTTTTTATTTCTATATATCAAAAAAAATTATGTTAAAAAAAAAAAATAATAGTTATCAATTTTTATTTGATTAATTAATTAGATTAATTAGGTTTTATTGTTATTATATATTATAAGCGATGGAAGGCGAATGAATATAAGAGAGAGAATAGAATAATATTTTATTAGTTTGTAGTGATGTTTATATACAATGATATTTTTTTCTTCTATTTTTTGTTACTATGACGATAGATGATTCGTAATAAATCATTTAGCAACTAAATTTTTCAAAAAAATTCTCTCTAAATATTTTTTATTGATTTTTCTATGGCGCGCGAAGTCTATAACCACTATTTTGCACGTGATTTTTGAAAGAATAGGAGTCCATTTATGTCGATCTTTTTTAAAAAAAAACTCTGTTATTGCATGATTGAGACTCAAACTTTATCATAACAGAGAATTTTTTCAAAGTATTGATTGGTTATCGAGTTCTATTTTACTATGTTCAAGATGATCTAAATTTAGGATATTTTACAATTATCATTTCTAAATTTGGTATTGTGTAGCTGTAAAAAATCACTGCGTCAAAAATATTTAACTCCAACCTGACTTTGTTAATCGAAAATCTTTAATTGAAGAAACTATCAAATCTTATGGTAATAAAGTCATATTTTACCCCAAGTTCCACTGTGAACTTAATTTTATTGAATTATTTGGGGTGCAGCAAAATAATATACACATGAAGACTGTGATTATACCTTTTAAGTCATTAGAAAAAACTGTTCCATTCTGCTTCTCTCAAAAAAATTCGGAATTTGCTCACAGGTTTTGGATATTTATGGATGCTTACAGAAATGGATTGGCAGGTCTAGAAGCTTTATATGCAGTAAAGAGATACAAATCTCATAGAAAAAGTCCAAGCAATGTTAAGATATTTTAAAAATCACACGACTTTATAAATTTTTTATTAATCGTTTTTTGAATATTTTTTTTGAGTTTTTTGGTGAAATTTGGCCGTATGACGCAGTAAGTGGTGGCTATAGACTTCGCGCATCATATTACAAATTTTTTGATTATTTTGACTGTTTTTTTAAATCAATTGTTGAGTCCGTTGTTTCATAACATAGATATTGTGGATATTGTTGTTAAATGACATTTATTTCTTTTTATTATTTGTATTTTAAATTTATCAATTAAAAAAATAAATTGCATCACCCAATTAATAATATGCAATGCTAAGAATATACATGAAACCGGAATTGATTTTTACTATGTAATTGTCTCAAGTCGAAATATTTCTGCTTGGGAATTTAATTCTGGTTTCATGTATAGCCAAGACCATACATACAAAGATGAAGATTTAAGAAAGTAATTCATTGATCTCCATCAAATCACTTCCGATAAAATAAACAACTTTCGCGTGAGGTTTAATGGAACCCATTCCTATACAGACAGATACCTTTTTCGGTATCCTTTAGGACGAAAGCTCTGCGATCATAAAAGAGCTTCAAAAAGTTCTTTCATCTGTTGTAGTGTTGTTTTTTGTTGTTGAAAATGGTCAGCATTTTATTAGGCAAATAAATAAATGTCCTTAACTTTTTAATCAATTCCTTGTAATTAATGATTATATATTCTGCATAGTAACTTATTATTAGAATGATGTCTGATAGCTGACCAATATGGATGTATTTGTCTATCACTATCTGTATAATAATTTCAGAAGTTTTGAGTTTAATATTACACAGAGGGAAAGAACCTAATACCAAAGGCAAGCAATTTTAATAATTGAATTTTCCATTGTATCGCATCCTTCGAGGTTCGGAGGTCAGTATAATTTTTGAGGATAAATAAATTGATTGGTGGCAAAACATGATGTTGTCATATCAAATAGTTTTACCACCATCTTTCATATCGTTGTGTGCTAAATATTGGAAAAATTTTCGATCACCACCAGTTTAATTTTGAATTTCGATTACTTTATAATATTATTGTTATGCACTAAAATTCTTTTAAAAATGAGAAGAAAGAAACAAACGAGATCATTAAAAAGTGATTATGAAGAGGTAGTTTTATTAGAGAATTATCACTTAGTTATTTGAAGTTAATTGATTATGTATTTGGTGACGATTAAAACCCTGACTTTATCTCAAGCCCAGGTACTGAAGGTGTAAAAATAGATATGATCAATTTTTCAAGCTAAATAATGTTGTAAATGCGGGAAAAGGAGACACGGGTCGTAACTTGATAGTTGTGGAAGGCAATCCTACAACGCAATTTGTTCCGTCAGGTCTAGAAGTAGTGGAGCAATGGGAAAGGGCAAACTATTAAATATGTTCGTAACGCTACAGAGATTAAATTTTCTGAAACGACAAAGTTCCAACAATCAAGAAAATCCTTAGCTTAAAACGTTAAAAAATCATTATTTGGTAAGTGAAAAGCAAAAGGAGTCTATGTATTTTATGTTTTTGGATTGATTATTCCGCTGATATTATGGAGGCTATTGAAATAAATATTATTTATTTGTTCACTTTGTCAATAAATATTTTTATATTATTAAATACTTTCTTTCATTTCCTTCGCAAAATCATCATCATTTAAATGCATTTGTTTTAGATCTTCAAAGGTGTTTATATTCAATGTATTTAAGAAATCACACTTTAAATTACATAGTTTCTCTATTATTCATAGACAAAAATAAAAATTCCATTAATAAAAAACTAAAAATAGCAAAATTAATTTAAATTGTCATTTAATCACCATATGTAGAATTTAGTTCGTTCTCAAAAGATTCTAAAGATCGTTCAATATAATGAATTTCTTGATTTGACTTAAATTGTTGATTTTGAATCTTTTGAGTAGCTATATAAAACAATGATAAATTTATAGATATTGTAGATCTATCTTTACACACGCATATTGTATGATGCACTTACATTTTTCAATGTTCCTTAAGATATTCTTTGCATATTTTAAAAAAATTTAATGTTAATAAGGCTCATAATAAAGAGTTTATTGTAAACAATTATTTTTTGCTTACCTTGATTTCATTAAATGATAATGGCGATGATGATAAAAATGATGGTGATGGCGATGACGATAGTGATGGTGATGGTGATGGTGATGATGAGAATTCATTATTATTGATATTGTATATATTTGTATTACTATTGTTGCTATTGTTTATAAAATTACTAACATAATCGTCATCATGTTTATTACGATCATGCTTATCATGTTGATTATCATGTTTTGATCTCACTTTCATCTCTTCTAATTTCACGGAAGCAATATTATTCGAATGGGCTTGACTATCATCAACATTATCTTGTTGTATATTTAATATAGTTTCATCACCATCATCAATTGTTTCTCCATTTCCAACCAAATTAAATGTTGCAGTAGTAGCAGAATCTTCTTCGTTATCGACATCGAATTCATTTGACAAATTTTCAATTGAATAATTATGATAATCATAATCGTCGATTTCCATCATCGTATTATTGCTATTTGGACCATTTGACTCTTCAAGAAAATAATGGTTCAAATCGCTAAAGTCATCATCGCCGTGAAACATTTGAATCTCTGATCCATTATCACCACCACTGTCGCCATTATTGAGTTCATTACCAAATCCTTCAAATATATCATCATTGTTTGAAAGAATATCTGGACCATTATCGATTTGGTTATTTATCATTTCTGAATTAGATTTTTCTTCATTACTGGTATTTATAACATCGTTACTAAATGTATCATGATCATGGTCATCAGAGTCGCTATCAGAATCGATTTTTGAATCTTGGGGTGTTTTATGATCTTTTTTTATGGACAAGTGTCGTGGTTCATTGGTTAATATTTTGTTTTTAAAAGGTTGTAATAAAGAAGAATCGTTATCAGTTGTTTGTTTTGTTTTGTTACTCCACTCTACTAATTTTTCGGGAGTAAGTTTTAAGCAGTCAGTGTTAAAATTAAACTTGGGATTCGTATTTGTGTTTATTGATGACATGACATTTAATTTTTTTCAAAGCAAAATTACATGCAAGTAGAAACTTTTAAGAAATAATATTTTTATACTATTTTATTAAACTATATATATATACACATACAAAGCACTATTATTTTTAAATTGCACAAGTAAATAATTAAATTCACCACGACGTGTTGTACGCAATTATCAAAAATTTTCTATTTATTATTATTTTGATATTTAAGCCTCCGTAAATAAAAAAAACAACATGAACTGTTGCTTATCTCCAGCAAAATACGATATTAGCATTTTCCACAACCATTTTCTCTTTAGATTCTTTGGTACTTTATTAATTATATTTTTTCAAAAAAAATCAACGCAAATTATTTATTATATAGCACATTTCTTTGGAAAATCAAGCACACTTTGATTTTTATTTGTATAATAATAATACCAGTCATTAAAATTTGAACCCTGATGCCCAATAAAATTAGGATTTTTTTAAGAATGATAGATACTGAGAATGTATTAGTATGGATTTCGGATGAAGAGAATATAATTTTTTGAAAAAAAGTATCGTCAAAAGAATGGGAAAGGTTAAATGAAATAATCGATAATAATCATCATCATGCTATTATTACTCAAGTTTCTTTAGTAATATATATTTATGTATCTTAGATTGGATATAAAGAAGAAATTATCGAGTGTAAAGATATAATAATACAAGTAAATTTTAATAAAGTGGTTTTCTGAAGGTTTTAGTGTTGATAAAGAGGTTTATTAAAGTATATGTCATTAATTTGCTGGTGTAGAGAATTAATATTTGTAGCATTATTATTAATGCTAATTACCTTTATCATATTACTTGCTGATTTGAAGTACACTAATTGTAATACAAAATAAAAAGAAGATTCCTGAAGATAATATATTATTAAAAGAATTAGCAAATTTAACATATTTACTAGAGAATATTTTGAATTCAATATAGAAGAGGATAATCGACAACAGAAACAGCAGTAACAACAATAAATTATTATTACAAAGATTTTAAAAAGACTAAGTTGACCAATTATCAATATTATCTAAATAATGAGTCACTAATTTTTACAAAGGGAATTATTATTATTTTTAATTTTTGTATATTGAGATCTTTAATGTTATATCTCTTCTTCTTCCCTTAAAATTTTAAGTTATGAAATATTCTTGGGATTGTTATATTATTATTTTGTTGTCATTCCTTGATTTTTCGTTTTCGTTTTACTAACCTCTTTATGTACCTATTTCTTTAGTTGAAAAGTTTTTTTGCTAATTTTCTTTTGGTTCAAAGTAAGGTTTTCTATGGGTGGGTATCCCCTTGGAGTTCGCCAAGTTTTGTATTGTTTGCTATATTGTCATACTGTTTCGTTATTTTCATTGTTTCTGGTTTATTTCAAAATTAGTTTTTTTCTTGTAATGGTTGATCCTTCTTTACTTTTATCTTATCTGCTTCTCTTTTCTTTCATTAAATAATAAACTTTCAGCCGTTACCCATTTGATAATCGGATGATTCAACCTTTAATCTAGGAATTCTTCATTATTTCTTTCGGTTCCAAGTTTTGTTTAATTATATATCTTCTTTTACCATTCCTTACTGGTTTCTTGATGTTCTTCTAGTTTATCAAAAAGAACAGTATAGTTTGTAGTTTATAGTTGGTGACATAGTGAGTTTCTATGATATTTTCATAATCCTGAGAACATTTTCTGTTTTTAATGATTTTCATACTATCTATTTACTCATAATTATAAATATCCAAGAATAATCCAAATGATAAAGTTGAATAATTCGTTAGTAGAAGAAGTTGAAATTAATACAACACAATGAATAGGACAAATAAATTCATTTTCCAGAAAAATAAAAAGTTGTATAACAGCAATGACGTTACAAATTATTTTATTGCTTATTTTATATTTGCCTGCTCGTAAGGATGTGTATGAATTATAAATTGATCTTTTATGTTCTAAAAAAGTATTTATATAAATATAGATAATTATCAAATAAACTGTTGTGCTAAATCGGAAAGAACAATCAAACTGTATTATTTTTGCTATTCACGCTCTAACAACCTCATCGCCATTGCTGCCCGATCAGATTCTCCTGTCACAATCATGTGCAGCAGTGGATCAATCGAAGTCCTTCCTAAAAATCTCAGGCCTTTCTCCCTCATTCTTATTCATGTTCCTTATATTTCGGGCAGCATTAAAATCACGATTCCAGAGGGCCTGGCCTTTACATATCTGTTGTATTTCACATACCCGGAGTGTCTAAAACCGCTGATGATTACAAAACCACCCTTCACATTTAGAACATATTTTATTAGTTCTAAATTCATTTATAGTTTTTATTTTACATCTCTTTTTCTCAACTCCAACTTTAGCTGCTTTGTGGGACCAGAAGAATGAGGGACCTTTAAAACGTGAAGAGAAAAAGGCGTGGGATTATAAAATAAAAATCAGTATAAAAATTAGCAATTGTTTTCTCATCACTATTGGTAATTATTTTGTCCATTGTCTTTTTTTGTTATAAATCAGGCAAACCAGCCATATAAAAAGTATTCCAGGGAGATAGCGTGGTTGGAAATTGCAAATCGAAAGAACAGAGGGTATTGGTATTAGTATTGGAAAACCTATTCGTATTTTTTGTGTTCAACACTTGTATGTTACATGTTGAATTTGAAATTCACGCGTGTGAAATTCAAATTAGCCAATTATGCAAGTGTAACAATATAGAAACGGAAATACCTCAGGCAATGGCTTGTTTATTTTTCATCCAGACATCTCTTTTTTAAACCCAGAAATTCTTTGTCACGTTCTCATCTTGATCATAAATCCCTTATGCCAACTATTCTATGCCCTTCCAATCTAATTCTTCATACTCGTCGTTATCATCATCGATTTGTTTTGGCTTTTGTAGGTGGACAGAAACATTTATACCATCAATTTGCATATAGTATGTAAATTCTCTGTTTCCAGTAGAAACTTTTCTTATATTGAAGCTTCCATTCCACCAACAATCAAAGTTTTCTCTTTTTTTCCAGATCATTATGTTGAATAAAGGCCCGTAATTGGAATAATACTTCAGTATCAATATTTATGTTCCTTTGTTGAAAGGGTATAATAGAAGGATTGTGAAGGAGCGATGATTTTTTGATACAAGGAGTTTTGAAATAACGACAACGTAAAAAAGTGATACAACTTCGGATCCTCGCTTGAAAACGCAAGGGGAAACAAATATCACATTAACATTAAAATAAAATAAAAATTATCCTTAAAAATCGTCAATAAACTTTTGTTTAAAGCGAAGCGCTTTAGTAAAAAAGCAACAATTATGGAGTTTTGGTAAGAGGTCACGTTTTATTTGTAAGCAAAAGTTAGGACTAACTAGTGAGCGTTAGCAACAATTATTAATGTAATTTGCTTACAGGTTCGCCGAAGGCTTCTAGATACAAGAAAGAGGCAGTAAGCGAGAACCAAAGTAAATTCGTAAACTAATTAATTAACAAGCACCAAATTATTTACCTGCAATTAACTGACAAGAATAACCCAAAAGTTAAACCATAATTGTAAATAATTGGCATTAGCAATATTATATGCTCAAAACAGTTTACACGTGGAACGTATAAACAATATATAATTCGTTAGTTGTCGATATTAGAATAAATTCTACTTGATATTAAATTGCTAACAATTTTTAAATCCATTGATTATAGGATCCAAATATTTTTTTTTGTGATGTTCTCCAAAATAAAAATATTTCCTCTCCTCTTAATAATCCAATTACTAAATAGCCCTTTCTATTTCAAAATTCTATTATAACAATAAAAAGGTGGCCTTGACAAGCAGGGTTGAAGATTGACACAGACCTAGCCGGTTTTTACCAGCAAATTTAACCCTGTTGACAAGTTTTGTAAATATTTAACTAAAGAGCCACCCGTAAAAATCTCAAGACAGTTTCAACTTTGATTTCAGTTTTAAGTTTTAAAAAATGCTAAAACATTGTTCTTGCACATTACTCCAAATTCCAATTCTTTTTTCTATATGTCATTTTGAATTGTTAAATATATTAACTTTTCGTAACACAAATTTTTTTGAATTACGATTACGATTACCATTACCATTACCCATTATTACTATTATCATTACTATTAATTATTCGAAATGAAACACTCACATGGAGATTTTAAAATTTTGAAAGATAATTGATAATTACTATATGTGCATACACGAACATTTGTACTACAAATGATTTCATCAACAAGTCGACAGTTGTTTTTGTTTTTTCTTTGTATGGGCTGATTATCCTTAAAAACGATTATAAAAATGTTGATTTTATTAATTTCCGTTTTTCTAATTTTCATTTTTTAAAAAAAAAACAATTAACATATTTAAAACAAATAATTATAAAATAAATAAAATGACTTATAATTATCAACAACCAAATCTCGATCAGGTTCTTCTGCCAATTCAAAATATCAATCAATCGGTTCAAAATTTCGATCATACACCACAAAATCTAAGTTGTGGCCACGTTCACCAACAAATGCAAAATTATGGGCAATGGAATCAAAATAGGAACAACAATAACAACGTAATGACGATGATTCAAACTTTACAACAGCAGCAGCAACTACTTTATAATTCGACCACGTTATCACCTGAAATTTATAATGATCACCTAAATTTAAATATTTCTTCATCCAATGTTCATCACAACAACGATGACCCTTTAATTTCAAGGATTTCTGATCGTCTGTTGATGATTAAAGACAGTGTTATGACGATGAATCAACAGTATGTTGAATTGGAACAAGATTTCATTACGTTAAGACGCAGATATAATTTATTAACCCATCCTTGAGGTTATTTATTGCTTTTTCATTTAATTATCCATTTATTTGTTTCTTTATTATTTATTCTTGTTATATTAAATAATAAAATTATGTTTTTATTTGAACTGTGTTCTGTTATATTCATAATTTCTCCTTCATGATCAGATGTTTGCTGCAGAGTGCAAATGGGTGATGATTGAAAGGGAATTACTAGCTTGCTACATAGAATTTATATTTTGTTGAAACTAGACTATAAATATGAGGGGATAAACCACACGCCTATATATTTTATTTCAAAAATTTCAACCATAATCTTACATATTTGATAATTCATTTAAGATATCAATGGGAATCCTCAGAATCTAAAGATGAAAAATTTATTAATTAAAATTCTTGAAAATGAAATATATAACAATAATGAGAATTAAATGGATTGATCCAATAAAATATTATAGAGTTGTTGCGCGATCGTCAATTGTTTCATTTATCTAATAATGAGTATTACTTTTAAAACTATTATCAAGCGATTCTATATCATCATCATTGTCATCATTAGAATTTTCATCAAATCATCTAATTCTTTATATATATATATGATTTAAATTTCTTAGTGCAAGAGAGAGATATATAGGTAGGTCATGGTTTTTAATTCCCATTGGAAAATAAAAATAGAACTGAACCGGTTCGAAACAAGCAATTCCTCTTTACCTCTCCAATTCAGTCTCTTTTGTGTCCATTTTATCTTTTCCAATTTTGAAACAATTAAATTATCCAATTTAGTCTTTGTGCATATTGTACGATACTATAATCTATCCAATTTATACAATAGCATTATAGATGGGCGTCTAAATTGTTTTTGGGGTTGTCTAAAGTCAAAATAATATTTAGACAAAAAATGTCTAAATGTCTAAATTAATACATATGTAAACTCGATAAGTCGGTCATGTCGGGGCGGACCCCTGCGACCGACCTATCGAATTTCACGTGATTTTTTAATTTATTAAAATAAAAAATATTAACATTGAAAATATAAACATCGAAAATACACAGTGAGTCTTGGTATAACGGATATGTTTGTTCCAGGAAATTTATCCGCTATACCGAGTCATCCGTAATGCCGAGATAACCGTAAAAAATCGAATTTTTGATTAAATCATGTGATACATGTTACGTAAAAAATTATTTTTATTTTTAATAATATGAATG